AGTTGCAATCCCAAGCTCTTTCTCGTCAAACAACACCACCGCTACTACTGAGATCCCAGCGGAATTAGGTGGAGGAATTGAATCCCGCCAGATATTTCGCAGACTACCTATATCTGTACTGTGCCTGGCAGCTCAGTGCCCTGGTGGTGGGGGGTTAGTTTCTTGGGTTTCTGTTTGGTGTGGGTGGAGGGGGGGCGTACGAAGACGAGGCTGGTGGCTAGGAGGAGCGGTACGCAGCCGATGTGGATGGCGACGTTTGTGGGGTCGCGGTGGTAGGCGCCGTACTGTGTTTACTTTGTTAGTACAAGAGATATGGTGGCTTGGGGATGCCGGTAGATCAGCAGTACTACTAGCAGATGCAATCCTTACAAAGACGAGATTCTTCTTCAAATCAAACCACGGCATGTTGTCTTTTTCCTTTACTCTTTCTCCTTCTCTTGATTCTTAGTCTCAATCTCAATCTCACTCTTCACAGCAATCGCGTCGTCTCTCCAACCCGCAAAACGTGGATCGAGAACCTTAAGCCACGGTAGGTAGGTAGGTAAATCCGGGGCAACGACCGCGGGGGGAAATCCACATCTTATACCCAACACCGTCTCAGCCCCATGCCCGCCCAGCCCTTTCCCTCGGCGTCGAAAAGGGCAACACCTCCTCTGTTGCATGTGTTTGCTCGTCGCACATGTGGGACATGTTCGTATTTTCCCCAACCCTGGGTATAGCTGGAAAGCCAACCACTTGATGCGGCTTTTCGGGGCCTTGTTCGCGATGCCTGGTTGCGTGCTGTGCAGGCGGGCCGCGTAACTGGTGCAAGGGTTGGAGGGTGCGAGATATGACTTGCCGAGGCTTTGTTGCAGGAGGTGATTGGCAGCTGCTTGGGAACGGGGGGGTTTGAACGTGACAGTAGGGAGAGAATGGGGATGCCGAGGTTTGGGAGGATTGGGTGGGCTGAGATTTATTTGCCCATCTGTGCCTTATACCTACCTATCTTCTTTGCGATGATTTCTTCGCGACAGGGTTAGGCGTGAATCGTGATGAACAAACGTCCACACTAGATCGTGTACCAGAGAGCCGTTTAATACCGCGACTTCAAATATAGAGTCGCTGATGATCCTATCGCGAATTTGCAAAACTCGTCGCTAAATGTGTGGATGTTATTTGACTGCAGCGTATGCGGCGCGGTAGTTGGGCGGTTAGCAGAGTGACAAGCGGGCTCTCTTCATCATCAGCGTCTGCTTAAAGGCCTGTTGGTGCATGTCCTGCGCAATGGAGGAAGGCGATTGATTTTTGTGGCGCCCTTTCTTTCTTCTCTTCTCCGTTTTCTCATTATCTCTGTTTCTTTTCATTTGCGCTTTGCATCTGGTGGTGTTGCGTTCACTCGTCGTGCGACGGAAACTTGAGATGGATGACGCTAGTGTGCCGGTTAACGCTATGCGGTCAAGCGCTCCCGACTCCCGTGTAAAGGGTACCGGTACGAGATCAAAGCTACAATGGCCAACTTCTATATCCCAGCAGAAGAAAAGTAAAAAATGTAAGCCAAGCTCTTCAATGAGGACTATGTGACTCCAGTACAGAATTTCCAGGTGACTGATATACTATCTACATTTTAGCACGTCCATTCTGGAAACCAGCTTCGCTCCGTGCTCCTGTCCTTGTCTGCACAACCCTCACATGTTGGGCCCTCATCGCCATCCTACAATATTTCCTTGCTAGAAGCCAGCGAGATGGAGGGATTCTCTTCGCGCCCAAGATTGGCAATCTCCCGTCAAGTCAGCACTTCCTCTATCTTTACCTCCCAACCATTCTCGCCGTCATCTTCAGCATGTATTGGGCCTGGATCGATCTGGAGACGAAGAGGATAGAACCCTACTACCAGCTCAGTAAAGACGGTGGTGCACTGGGGAAAGACTCTCTTCTGTTACAATATCCCTTTGATTTTCTCCCGCTGGTGCCGGTGAAAGCGTTGAGGGATGGGTAAGTGATTCCTAGTTCTTGCCTACTCCAATAAGACCACCGCGCTTCTTGATAATAATAATCATCCAGACATTGGCCTGTGTTCTGGGCATCTATTTCCATGGTCTTTGTGACTTGGGGCCTAGTCCCCATGCAGGCTGGTATCTTCTCCGTGCAGACGATCCACCGATCTTTCGACGCACCATTTTCACTCTCCACTTCGTTTATGCCCATGGCACAACAAACTACCAACTTGACACTACGTTACGCCCAGTCCACATATGGGATTGCTACCCTGGACGAGACACTCCCAGCATATATGGCGAGGAACTACACTTTGGCTCCATTCAAGCCTACGGCTGTCGGAAATAACGTCGACACTGTCATCCAGGGTACCTGGACTGCCATCACTACCATGTATGGAGTAGATTTATCTTGCCAAGTAGTCGCACCTCAGCGCAACAATGCTTCGAAATCCGTCTTGTACCAAAGCAACGGCGGCTGCAATGTCACCTTTGGCCTGACAGGTAACATCACAAAAGGATACAACGCCGACAAAGACCTCAATGCTCCCTTGTTATCAGCAAAAGACTACATGGGAATGTACATTGGGTTCTATAACGGTGGATTCGCAGATTACTCACTCCAAAACAGTTGCCCACCAGAGGGCAACTGGACATTTTACGCCGCCTTCAGTGGCAACAAAGTGAGTTCCCACACCCTGAACTTTTGAAATGGGCCCCCCCTTTTGAGAGAAATCCCCCCCCCCCCGTCAAGAGAAGTAACTGAATCTCTCCCCCCAAACAGGCGCGCGAATCCGACGCCCCAAACAATGTAACCGCTATATTCTGCGAACCAACTTTCTTCGAGCAGACCGTAAACGCAACGGTAGACATGCGAACCCTGCTTCCCACCAGCACCACACCCATCGGAGACAAGAAAGCCCTCAATCCCAAGCTCTTCAACACAACGAGCTTGCAAATTCAAATGAACGGCGGCACCGGCTACGAGTTTCGCAGCAACAACCTGCCGATTCGAAAGCTGCCGGATTACCTGGAGCGCATTGCCGATGGCAACGTGAGCCTCCTGACGGGTGCGACGGGGAATGCGGCAGTACAGCCCATGGTCGGCTTGTCTCTGGCCGTGGGCAACCAGCCGTTGGAAGAGTATCTGGATGCGGAGGTGCTTGGTAATTCTTACGCGGATGCGTACCGTCTGTTGTTCTCACGGGCTATGGTAGACGTACTCAATGGCGGTGTTGAAGGCGCTGCTGTAAACATCAGCGGGCGACAGGACTACACGACGCAGGCGGTTGTGGTCGAGCCTGTCTTCACGTATATCGTCGAGGCCTTCTTGGGCGTGATATCAATGGCGACACTGGCGCTGCTATATCTCTCTGTTACAAGGACGAGGAAGCTCTATTCGGATCCAAGCACTATTGCTAGCCTCATGAGCCTGGTAGCGGATAACGAGGCCTTTCTCGCCGAGTTTGAAGATTTGGATTGCTGCACATTGGAGGATATCCATGCCGTGATTGGGGATAAGAAGTATCGCCTCGTCGATGACGGTGGACGGAATAGGTAAATGATGCTCAATCTGTTTTTTATTGGATTGGGAGACACGTATGTTGACCAGAGCGTAGCATTGTAGAAGTTGGCCCTACCATAGACGCTGTTCTCGCGGCTCAGCGACCTATAACGCTTAGCCAGCGCCGAACCACACCACGAGACATTGCGAAGCCGGTCAGACCCGTGGAATTCCGACTCTATGTAGCCATACCCTTTGTGACCTTGTTCATCGCTCTGGCCGTAACACTGGGAGTGATCTACATCAAGGCGCAAGTCAACGGTATGCCAGTTTACTTGCCCAACTGAACGTTGAATTTGGATACTAAACTCCCTTTGCAGGACTTCCACTTCCCTCCAAGAACAAGCTTGTGCAGAACTTGCTGGAGAACTACATCCCTACTGCTCTAGCCACGCTGATCGAGCCAATGTGGATCCTTATCAACAGACTCTTGTGCATGTTACAGCCCATCGAAGAGCTGCAGTCCTGTAACGCACCTGCTAAAAAGTCCATCGATTTAAACTACAGCACGCTTCCGCCTCAGCTTACGATTCTGAAGGCTCTTTTCTCGCGACACTTTGTGCTCGCCACGGTTTGCGCCATGGCGCTTTTGGCCAATATCCTGGCTGTTGCCTTTGCAGGCCTCTTCGAGCAGGAGACACTGAGTATGAAGCAAGCGACATCGTTTGATGTTCCCTTTGACATGAAGTTTTTGCCCATCAATGGGAGCATCGGGCCGCTCAGGAGCGATATCTCAGGCTCCCTGCAGCCCTCGGGTGCCTACCGGGGTGGCAGCGCGCAAGATCAGTTTCTAATCGCAGAGTCGAATTTCACCAGAGGAACACCGTTGCCTGCCTGGACGGACGAGCGCTTTCTGTATCTCCCTTACTTCAGCTCGGCCTCTGTAAATGCATCGGATCAGCGTGAATACGAAGCTCGAACAGCTGCCTTCGGCGCAGAATTGGACTGCGAAACCCTCGAGCCTGGCGTCGACTATAGCGCTAGAATCGGGGTGGGCCGTTCGGAGGTTCGGATTTTGTTTAATACTACAAGAACAGAATTATCAGAAAGAGAAGCGCAATCCAAAGAGGCGATTTGCTCCATGCGAGCATCATCATCGCTTCGATCGGGCCCTATTCGTTCTGATCCAAGCGAGAGACTAGAAAATGCCTGTCGACGCGGCGCAAGTGCGACCGAAGTAGCTTTCGTGACTGAGGCTGCGGCCAACGCAACGCAAGAAGAAAAGGACGCTTGTATGAGGACAGTCATCCTGGGTTGGATTCGAGCTTCTGAAGGATCATGTGGGGCCTTTGCAGAAAGGGATCTGGACAAGAGCAATTCAGCATTCGTTCGCTGCATCCCGAGATTGATCTCGGGAGAAGCAACGGTCCACGTTGATGCGAGCGGGCGTTTACAGGAAAAGACTGTCGAACTGAAAGTGAAACAGAAGATATCGTCAGAAGATCAAGAAAGGATGTTTAGCAATGACCCGGCCAATCTGATAGGTCAGGCCAATCAGTACTTGTTTGCGCAGACCGGGGAGAGTGGATGGCACAATGACAGTTTCGCACAGGATGTCATCAACTACTTCGCCATGCGGGAAGCCAACAACAGCAGGCTAGTCGACCCCAACCAAAGCGCTCCAGCACTCACAGACATCCAAGAGCCTATCAGCAAAGCCTACTCGAGATTGTTTGCCATCTGGTTGGGAGCCAATAAGGAGAAGTTGTTGATATCTCACACTGGTGACAGTAAGACCTCCATCCAAGGCTGGACCGTCTTGAACGAGCAACGCCTTGTCGTATCTACGCCCATGTTTATCCTCTCTGAAACGATCTTGGCTATCTATGCCATCGTCGCCATTGTGGTGTATCTTCGCCGACCTGGGCAGTACTTGGCGCGGATGCCCATGTCTATTGCTGCGATTGTCAGTTTGTTCGCTGCTAGTGCGGCAGTGCAGGATATGCGCACTACGTCACAAATGGATCGCAAAGGGCGAGCACGGTTCCTGAAGGAACTCGACTCGCGGTACGGCTATGGTAGTTATGTTGGCAGTGATGGCCGTGTGCACATTGGGATCGACAAGACGCCTTTTGTGCGGATCAGGTCCAAGAGTACTTGGCTGAAGAAGAAAACGTTTACATTCCGCAAAGGCGCGGGCGGTAATGGATGAAGTTTGGGAAAGTTTTGAATCAACATTGGACTCTGCAGAGTCTGCACTGCTTTGCTGCATCTGTGCACTTCCCATTGGTCTATCAGCCCGCCGAGTGTTTTTGATCTGTGACGATCGCTTGTTCCTCGACAGATGAGTGGCTGCGGGTGTAATGAGACTGGCTTCTTGCCCGTTCTCATATCCGATGGTGGGATAAGCACTCTCTTACGACATCGAAGAATGGAATGTTGGGGTCCATGATGTCTGGATTCATTTCGCAATCGAATCAAAGCATTCCATGTGCAAGTAGAGACATTAGAGGCGTTGTCGACTCAGTCGAGGTACGGCCAGGGGCGATTTGCTACTTCGATTTAGGTACTTGCACCAGTGGAATCATCGAAAGATGAAGTGTGTGTGTCTGTGGGCGGGGGCGGGGGGGGGGGGGGG